TTCTCTTTCTGTCTTGTTTTCATTTTCTTTTGAGACAGAGTTTCATGAAGTTGCACAGGAGAGACTCAAACTTTCAGTTTTCCTGCCTCAGCTTTACTCAGTACTTGGATATGAAGGTAGAAAAATCATGCTAAATTCTCTTGTAGTTTTCTTTTTGATTTTATTTGTAAGCAATAAATACTAAATATTTAAGTACTTAAAGATTCATAGACTTGAAGTGTCCTCAATTTATATTGTTGTTGTATCTTTGAGGTTATACTTTTTTCATTTCTATATTTCCTAAAATTTTATTTTAAGGAATTCAGAAATAGCTGAAACTTTAACATGAATATATTTCAAAGAATATTTACTTAAGGAATTAAGTTGCTTTGTTCATGAGGTATGATATAGGATGCTTAGATTCTTCATGAAAATGTAGCAGTACTTTTACATGTAAGGCTTTATTTCTATATTAAAATACTAAAAAATACCTAGTATTTTCCTAAATGTCTTAAAATATATTTATATTTTAATTAACATTCCTTAATCAATGCTTGACTCATGTCTTAATTCTTCTATTTTATTTTCTAAATTTAATGTTATATTAGTACTCAGATACTGCTTTTGATACGCAGCTTAAATTCTAACTTCAATTTCTGACTATACCCTAGATTAGGCCTTATTCTGCTAATGTCACTGTTAACCTTGCAAAGGAATTACTAAATTAGTGGTTAAGTCACTTAGCTATATTTATATATTAGCAGAAGATAACCTCATAGCAGGAAAACTTGTCAAAAAAGCCTTGGAACAACAATGTCTTTAAGAAGCTCTCTTTTTTTACTCAAAGAAGTGAATATTAAAGATACATGAGCCTATTCAATATTTTTTCCTTTTTTGTCACCCATGTAATCACCTTAATGATCTTGGATTTACAGTATTCCCAGAATACAGTTGTTCCAATATTTGAGAAAAACATTGCCTAAAATCAAATTCCTAGCACTACAATAAGCATATCATTTAATTGGCAAATTTTGCTTCAGTGAAGATGTGCCAATTAAAATTTTACTGTACTTTTTTAACTTGCATACTCAGCTCATATCTCAACTTCCATAAACCACTCATGAAATACAAGAATTTTCAGACTCAATTAAGTCTTTTTTTGCTTCATTAAGTATAAATACATTACCCAATTTCTGTTAAGTTTTATGGATATTTTTAACTGGCTTAAGCTTTGTTAGTTCATTATAGAAAGTCTTGTCTTTGGTTTTATGAATAGGAGGTAAGGACATTTTTAATAATGGAACCTCTCTAAAATTTCATTTAAATATATAAAATGGAAAGACTCTCTCTTAATTAACACTTATTTTAAGATTTATAACATATTAAAATCTCTAGAGTACAGTAGGTATTGTATGGTCCATAAATTGTTCAGTCTTATTTTCTGACATTGATTTGTCCTATTTTATTGCTTAATACACAGAGAAATCTATTTCATCAACAGAGGGTAAGTTTTCATACACTGAAACAAATGGAGAACTATTCAATAATACAAGCCACCCATTTAAATGGTACAGTGAAATACTATGAATACATGATAGTTTTAATGTGATGTTTTGACATGTTTTCTAACTCTGGTCAATCGAGTTAATCATGCATAAATGTCTTTGAAATAGTGATTATAAAACTTCAACCCTCTAAATAAATTGTTCTATAAGGATGCAATTAGATGATATCTGCTTTTTAAATTCTTTAAAATAATTTTAATGAGAAGATTAGATTTAAAAAATACACAGATGTTGGGGATATGCAAATATTGAATGCCATTAATAAATTCTAGGATCTTTGTCTGAAATTCCCAGGAAAGATTTTTGAGTTTATATTTTGTGGAGTTTGGAAATAGTCACATATATACGATGAGATATATTAGAATATTAGAAATGCTATTAGAATTTAAACATACAAATTAGGCTCCATATACATCTTTTATACTTAAGCTGAATATAATTTGAGAAGCTATTTTAATAAATATGCAGTAAGACTGCAAACCATTATATGAAATCAAAGGTGAAATTTTATACTTGGAGCATTATGTTGGCTCTCAAAAAGTTTCAGCTCTTAGAGCAGTTTGGATTTCAGTTTTTTTTTACTTAGGGATGCTCAACATATAGTAAAAAGCACTTATGAAATTCTTGTTTAGTTTGTAGGTTATATTTAGAAAGTATAATAAACAAAAGAAATAAGACAATAATAAAACAAAAGAGGATAGCCAAAATGAAGGCCAAGAAGATCTTAAACAGAAACATTTCAGAGAACTATGGTGCTTTGCAGCAATTCATTTGTTGTGCTTACTTTTATGCAAAATGGAAATATTAAGTAAGTAGTTAGAAAATATTTGAGTAACAAAAGACTAAAAACGTCAAAATTAAAGTTGAAGAACTTTTTACCAAATTGACCTTTGCATCCATATGCATACGCATATTTTAAAGAGGTCTGGACCAAACCAGGGGTTGGATTTGAGTTGAACATTGTGGTGCCTAACATAACTTCTTTCAGGTCAGTTAGGAAAGGTACTTATTTAGCTGTACATTCCTTCAGCATTTATCATTTGTCATAAAATGCAGCATGACTTTAACTGTTGCCTAACTGGAATTCAGAATTGCATGTGAGTTTATACTAACAGTTACATATTTTAATATGGAAAGAAATTATACAATAAGTAATAATTAAATTTGGTTTAAGAATAATTCTGCTAAAAGTTATTTATATTTTTTCAGTGTACTATAACTTATACAATTAGGCTAAGAGTGTCTTGCTAAGGTAGTACCAAATTATTTCCATTATGATCAGTTACTTCAAAACAAAAATCTTAAGGAAATTTGTTTAGGGATGGTGAGATAACTCACTGGACGAAGTACCTGTTTTGGCAAGCGCAGGGACTAGGGTTCGATTCCCCAGTCACACATACTGCTCCGGCCCCACCCCAGGTTGTGCTGAGCGGACCACAGAGTCCAGGCATAGTAGCACACTCCTGTAATCCCAGCGCTAGGGTGGCTGAAAATGGGAGGATCACTATGATTCCGAGTTAAGTAGTGAGATGGTGTAATAACCATGTACATTGAAAAAAGAAAGAAATTTTTTCAATCTATACTTCACATATATTCTTATGTAAAAACCATTTTGACAATTTTCAGTACTTCATACTATAGAAAATAAACCAAAGAAGACTTATGCCAGTACAGAGGACTTAATAGGTTCATTACAGGAGATGTGCATATGTCCTTACAATGTGCTTTGGAAAGTACAATTTTTTTTCATAAAGCCATATGAAGTATATTGGAGGTTTAGATGATAATTTAGGACCAGCATTTGCAAAAATTAAATACTAAATCCTCGTGTGTCCCTTATATTTGTAGTATTTTCAACAATTCAGAAGGTGTAATTTAGGACAACTGTGTCGTGATACAGTGGTTACGAGGGTCACAGGTTTCCTAAGAGCTAATAAGGGCAGGATTAGGCAGGAAGTTGCCTGCAGTGTTCACATCTGACTTCACACACGTTCAGAACAAAGTGATAAATATAGATGAAAACCAGGGTGACACATCAATCTAGAAAATGACAGTATAAAAATTCTTTATAATTCTCTTTATGTTGTTTTAAACTTACTCTGTGAAACTTTGCATCAATGGCCAACTCTGGATGAAATCTAAGGTCATGTGTAAGTAAGTTACCTACTTTTCCTCAGATATACAATGCTCTAGCTTTAAATAAGCAGCAAAGAGAAAACATTTGACTTACAAATCTGGTAGTGGTGTATTCTGGTCATGATAAATATTTAAAAACAGATTTCCTTAAGGTCTCTTGGAAGACTTTGTCCTCTAACTATATTCAACTTGGAAGGCCAGGTTTCACTTGTATTCCTCTAGTCTCTTTTTAGCATGCTCTTATGGCCTTTCCAGAGGGGGAGTTCCATGAGTCCTCAAGGAAGCTGTCTGTACTTTGCTTCTTTTTCTCACTCTGTTATTCCCCACTCTTCAGCTCTACCTCTTTCCCTTCCTTCCTTGTTTCCTTCTTTTTCTTCTTTCCTTTTTCTCTTTCAATTATGTGTGTTTTGCTTCCAAAGTTGACATCGATTTTTGACCCTTAACTCTCTAATTTTTTGCCTCAAAAATATGAAGTCAAGAATGATAAATGCTGGCATTTTCTTTCTTCCCTAATCCTGAATGTAGTATAATATTTCACTTTGACTGTACAATAATTAGTATTTTGTGTGTGCTGGATTTAGTTAAAATTGAAAGGTGGGGTTGGGGAGGTAGCTCAACAGTCTAAGCCCATGCCTGGCAAGCACAAGGACCTGAGTTTCATCCATGGTACCACATTCCCTTCAGGCCCTAGTTTGTAGAGTAAGGAGAAGGTAGTGAGTTAAGTCAGACAGGACATCAATTGGAGAATTGCCAGATTAGCAAAATATCTGGATTCCTCATTGTAGCCAAATCCTGCAAAACCTTCCACACTCTACAGTTTGGAAAGAAGTTTTTATAATTTGAGAGAAACAAAATATACTATGTACTACCATCTCAGCTCTATGAAAATCTGTGTGGCTATAATCTCAAAATGTTATTCTAGGAATTCCTGTAGAAACAAAGATGCCAGAAGGAAAAAGGAGTGTGTGCAAGTGTGTTTCATAGTGGGTTGTACTGTAACCAGCTCATGCTAAAGGCCAGCCTCTGAGCCATAATTCTCAGGACAGAAAACACCTGGGATTCTGCGACTTCCTTCTGGACAGAATATTTTCTTTGAAACACACACGTGGGCTGGAGAGATGGCTCAGTGGTCTAAAGCACCTACTTAGAACAAGTTCAGCGAAGCAGAGGGACCACGGTTCAATCCCCCAGCACCACATGCCAGCCAGCCCGCCCCCTGGTGGGCTGAGCTGGCCACACACACACCTCTCTCTCTCTCTCTCTCTCTCTCTCTCTCTCTCTCTCTCTAATAAATAAATAAATAAATTTAAAAAAAAAAAAGAAACACACACGTGAGCATACGTACATATACCTTGCAGATTTAAACAATGTTAGGTAATAGACATTTGGGGAAATTACAGCAAGGGTAACTTTTATGAAAGGAGGTATTTTTGGAATAATAAATATTGATGGGTTAAACTGCTCTGAGCATGACGACTTATTTTCTTCTGGGAGACAAATGCTAGAGCAGACCTTCCTTTTTCCTTAATGATTCATTCAGGAAAGACAAACATTTATAAATAATTAATATGATTCTCAGGTGGAAATGGGTCAATTTAATGCAGATATCATATGTCTTAGGCATTTTTAGTACAAAAATGTGTTTTATCTTAAACTTTATAGAGTATGACTATGAAACTCAAAAACTTAAGTTTTCAAAAACTTCTCTTGATATTTCTAGAGTCGCGGACAAGAGTACCGCTAAGGACGGGATTGCTGCAGTGAAGCAAAACCACACTGAAGATTACTGATGGAAAAGAGACAATTTATGTTCTTAATTTTTTCTCACTGCTGATCTTTTTACTCTTAAAGGAATTACAGAGCACTACATCCCTGAATACATGAAATATCTCCACTACATTTCACAATGTCAGAAAAGAGCTGTAACATGTGAATTAGAAAACGGGGAATCGCAGACTTTCTGTAAATCACAGCTTTTCCAATTGATACTAATGCACAGCAGCCTTGCTAGAGGGACTGTATTCAGATGCACGAGAAACCCATTTCTTTCGAAGTAGGAAGGGAATAGATAATTTCCACTATTTTTGAATATGTTTAGTGATTCAGACTTTTCATGTTTATCCAACAGGCCTTACGCTCAAGACAGACACCTGGGTGGAAAACGGGAAGACTTAGGATCCAGGCGGCCTTTGCTCAGGGTCTGTTTATTTTTGAGAAAGTTTCTGTCCTTGCTGTTGATCCCAACCTCTCTGCAAGGCATGGCCTCAGGGAAAGGAACTTTAGCTAACTAGTTGGTCTAGAGAGTTTGGCCTCCCAGCAAACTAATAAATGATATCATTAATGTGTGCTAATTGTTTTCCTTCATGACAAACAGGACAGGCATTTTCTGGAAATTTTACAGTTCTGACAATTGTTTGCATATTTTAAGTGACTACTTTGTTACCAAAAAAGCAATTTGACTCATTTCCACATAGAAAACTCATAAAAAATTGAAAAGCTTCAATAATTTTAAATCATTCTCTATTGCTCATGGAGATTTAAATTTCAGTGCTAATTTTTTATTAGCACTTTAATTTGGAAGGTACCAGGCTTCTACAAGAATTAAAATTATTAGAGCATTTCAAAATTTTATAAGCTTTCCTGTACGGTTGTGCCGTGATTCTAGGCTTGTGAAGTAAAGCACAATTTGAAGTTAATTTAAATAATTTAAGCAACGAAGACTTTTAGGGGAATTGTTTTGTCTTTCAAATGGGAATTCACAATACACTACAATCATGTTACAAAGAAAATACTTTTCTAATAAATACAGTAATAATTCTAGTTCATGTTGAAGGTTAGTTATTTCTTTTTGTTTATCCCTACTTCAACTTGCATCTTAATACTTTTCACTATTAATTTTTGAAGAATTTCATTTCAATGACTTTCTCAATGATTATCATCAAACTGCATTGATGTCTCCTTGGCAGATCTCAGAACTATGCCCTTAGTCCTACCTTATTCAGGAATATAATGATTTATCTAATTATCATGGGATCATGATCCAATAAACCCCTTTTAACTGACAATATAGCAAGTTTCAAGTGTATGTAATACACATAACCTTCTTGGTTTAGCAGCACAGTACTGTGCAGTAGTGGAGGCTTAATCTGATTCTCTGGCACCCGGGGAGGTGTGGCCTACTGACACTGCTGATGCTGCTGCTCACGCTGGTAAAGCAGTGTCTCATTGCTCCCTTATCACCAACCTAGGAGAGGATCGTGCTTCAAGATGCAAAATACGATTCTGCAGAATACGGACCACTTTAAGAAGATCATAGAAGAAGGGATAGCCAAATAACTCAGCTATAACAGATTATCTTGCTGAATGCACATAGCTACAATATTTAAATGGCAATGGAATAACCATCTCAGCAAATCTAAACAAAAAAAGGGGGAGATACAAATGAAGGACCATTTTGTGTCTGTATATACAAAATAAGATATATAGCTAATCTCTCTTCATTCAATGAGAAGAAAGATTTGTGCTAATAGTGTTTGGGCAGGATATCATGTCTGCATTCTGAGCTATGAATAACCACAACAAAAACAAAATCATGCAATGTATTAATTATTGAAACTGTCATACTAATTGGTTTTGAAACTGTTTCATTGCTATTTGTTTCTCAATAACGTTAATGATAATAAAAAAGAACAAATAGATCAGTGGATTAAACTGCTTGCAAGTAGGCACATGGGCTGGGGATTTGTTTCCTGGGCTGCCAAGCTGGCCCCGCACCCAGGGAGCACTGAGACAGAAATTGAGACTGGGTGTGGAGGGTGGAGGTGCACATCTGTAATCCCAGCTCTTGGGAGGTTGTAAACAGGCAGATCACTACAAGTCCAAGCTAGTAGTGAGACCCTAAACACCCTCAGTACACCCTTCCTTAAAATTAAAAAAAAAAAAAAAGTTCATAGGGGACGGGGGAGATGGTTCAGTGGAATAAGCGCTTTTCTGACAAGTGCAAGGGACTGAGTTCAATCCTGGGTTCTGAAAAAAAAAAAAAAAAAAGAGAGAAATTCATAGAACAGTATAAGTAAGTCCAGTCATCAGAAGTTTGAGATCAACTGTATGACAATGTTTTGAATGATAATCTTTGAAAAAATACTTTAATGTATGATAAAATTGAGTAGATCTTAATTGGTTTAATATAGTTAGTTAAGAATTTTGTTGTTGTTTGGAAACTGGATATAAAAGAGTGTATTTAAAATGAATAGGGCCAAGGAGATAAGTGCCTGCCTTACAAGTGCAAGGTCCTGAGTTCGACCCTCGGTACCACAAAAAACGAAACGAAATGAAACTACACCAAACTAGGGGCAGGCGAGATAGCTCAGCGGACTAAAATGCCTGCTTAGGCAAACTTAGCAAAGCTCCAGGACCATGGTTCTACCCCGGGCCACATGCCGCCCTCCTTCTCCCCACTTGCCTTTCCTTCCCTCCCCCCCAGGGCTGATTAAGCTTGCCAGAGACCAGGCGTAGTAATCCCAGCTATGGAGAGGCTAAAAGTGGGAGGATCGCCATGAGTCCAAGCTGCGTGGTGAAACTCTGTAACAACCAAACGTAAAAAATAAAATAAATACATGCATACAAGCCTACGCACACACAGCATCCACTTTAGTGTAAAGCTAACTGGTCTAGAATTGGAAGAAACAGAATTGTTAATATAAGTACAAATATTGCTTCTTCAGAAGTATGTCATGGATCATGCATAAAATAACAGGACTTTTAATTACAGACATCATTGCTGTTTATAACGATTTAAGGAAATATCAATTCCTCTCAGTGTACAGGTGAAACGACAGATTTAATATCTATTGTTTTTCCCTTTTTCAAATATTTTACCAATTTCAATATTGTAACACACTCAGAGATAAATAAAATTTAAATTTGGCAAAGACACAGAAACTTAAATTCTTGAAAATTTAGCACAATCAAATGTCTATTTGTTTTGTTTGCAGTGCACCTTTTTATTAAAATTTGTTTGAAGTAAGAAAAATAAAGATAAGACATAGAAAAATCTTTAAAAATTAAAAAAAAGGGCTGGCCAAATAGCTCAGTGGATTAAAGCACCTGCAAGCAGGAGCAGGAGCAGGGGTTCAATCCTTGGGCCTGACAAGTGGCTCTGCCCCCTGGGCATGCTGAGACAGCAATTGAGACTGTGTGTGTAGACATGTGCCTGTAATCCTAGTTCTTGGGAGGCTGTAAACAGGTGGATCATTATGAGTCTGATCTAGTAGTGAGACCCTGAATACCCTGCAGACCCTTCACTAAAAATTTACAAAAATAAATATAATAAAAATAAAAATTAAAGCAAAGACTATCATAACAATTAGAATATTTAAGACAAAAGAACATCATTGGATTAACCTTCAGGGGAAGAGAACCTGTCCCAAACTTAGGGATTCAGTTTGAAAAAAAAAATGCCTGTTCAGGGAAATACTTGCAAAAACAGATGATTCACTAATTTTCAGTTTGTTTTCACAACTAAACTTTACCCCTCATATAGAATATTAGTTTTTTTGCTTTAACACTTACTGCTTTTGCTAGGGCAGTTGCTATTTCCTTTTTGGCTATGACTTTACCTTCCTCTAGACTAGAACTTCGGGGCTCCACTCTTTTGTCACCAGGAAACAACCCACAAATTTCATTATAACCAGGAGTTATTACATTCTCATAATTCTGGTGTCTATGGCCGGGATTATATATACCTTCATTCATCTGTGTAGTTTGAGATTGAAAATGGAGAGAGACTGGTAGCAGCGTTTTGCTAAACATGATCTGTCTCAATAGCTTCCAAGAATCTGTGACTATAGAAAAGATTCCTCTCTAGTCACTTCTCCAAGAGAACATTAATAAATCCCACTGAGCAGTGTGATATGTCATGTCTACAAACCAGGCTCCTTACTTTCAAAATACTACTTGTCCTATGTTTTTCTTTTCTTTTTTTTTTTTTTTAATCTCTGTGCAAGGCCCATATTCAAAAGAAAGAAAATTGGATACAAACTCTCCAAGAGAATGTCAAAGAATTTTCACTCTTCCTTTCTTTAAAGCAAAGAAAAAAATGGGAGGGTTGTTTTGTACGTTAATTTGGTTAAAGAAATAACAATTCTCATTCTAACAATAATAAAGGACCAGAATTCAATTAAATGACAAATTCAATCAAAAAACACCTAACTATAAGGCTAGAAAGTAGGAACTTTTATTGTCGGAGTTCACAGGAGGAATGAGAAATAGGTTTTGTTCTTTCTTTTGAGCTTCCTTGGTGTTTACCAAGCAATTAAAAACTCAGAAATTTCTTGCTTTTTCTTTTTTGGGGTGGAACCAGGGATTGAACTGAGGCCCTTGTGCTTGCCAGGGAAGCGCTTATTGCACTGAACCATCTCTCCAGCCCTCAGAAATTTCATGAGAGATTTCTTATATGGGGATTTCAAGTGGTCCAAATTAACCCAGTTTTCTAGGGATGACTTCTGACTTTCAGTGGCATTCATGTGCATTTGACATGGTCTGATACTTACAAAGCCTATTCTGGGAATTCCTTTATAATAGGAATAGTGGGGGCAAGCATTGCCAAGTCACACGCACAGCATCTGATGACAGAACAACCTAGAAAGTCATGTGGACAAGGGAAAGAAAAGAAAAAGAATGCACCTAAAACAGACACCAGCCCTTGTGTATGCTGGTCTGAGAAGTCATATCCTATCACCTTCTACTTTAGGTATTTTTTTCATTGCTAAGGCAAAATACCCAGCACCCAAAGCTAAAGCAGGAAAGGTTCACATAGCGTACAATTTGTATAGATGTCAGTCCACAACTGGCTAAAGCCAGAGCAAGTTGTTCATGGCAGTGGTTCAAAGCCAAAGCAAGAGGACCTTAATCTTAGCACCCTTAATCCCAGTATTACATTAGGAATCAACCGCACATTCTAGATTGTGCTATCTCCCCAAAAAATTCCATGTCTATCTGTCATTTTAGGGGGACATCTTAATCCAAATTACAATTCTTTCACAATATTCTATTTATTATTAATGTGTAATTGCTATAGCTTATGGTGTAGCCCACCTCCCCTTGCACCAGGAAAATACTACATTGAAGCATGAATAACACTAGGCATTCGTTGATAGATACACTTTAGGATGTTTGCTACAAGAAAACGTACTGATTTTGTGTATAATTTGTTTTATAATCATAAAAATAAATGTAGGTTAGGATTGTAAATAGTTTTTCTTCATTCTGTGGAATTAAAAAGAATTTCTGTACTATAGTTGACACACTTCAAATGGCCTGGAGCATAGTCATCTACTTTCGCTACACAAATTTCTTTTCCAGAAATAGTCTCAAGGATATTTTGACAATGCTTGGCTTGATTCTCTTCTGATACAGCCTCCTACAACTTCTGCATGTCATGGTCATGACACAAGCTTGCAGCAGGGAACAAGTCATTTGAAGCTATAGAACAATTTACATATTTAAATGTCTCATAAAAACAAATTTTAATACAAGTACATAAAACATCTAGCAGAAGTATGGATTTAGAAAAAAATTATAGAAGAGTAACATGGATACCGTCACACCAAACAAGCAGAGAGAAAACATGCATTTGCTTCCTTCTTTGTATAAATAGTATTCTTTTGCAAATTTATGTTAGCCTTCCAGTCCATCATTAAAGGAGCAGAGGATATATATAAAGCATCAAAAGAAAGAGTTAATTGAAAAATAATATATTTATCATATAAAAATCATATGCATGTGAGATTCATATATTATATATGTACAATTTTATATTAGTGATATGTGATCTATGTGCACATTACATATATTTACATGATATATGTTTATTCTGATATGCTTTATAAATTCTGTGTATTTGAAATCTTTGTAGTTTAGCACTAATATGTAGATATAGATATAGATATATTTAAATGTTATCCTTAGAATAGGGCAATTAACATTTATATAAATTAAGGTTCTAATTTGCCTGCTAAAATCTCTACATTTATACAGTTATACTTTGTAAAAATATACCTTTGTCCTTTTACTTTTTAAAGAGAAGACAAAGTTTTCATTATGTCTAAGTCAAAACCCCTCATAAATTTTAGGTTTATCCATTATCTTATAATTCTTTTACCTTGATTCATTATAATGAGGCATAGATAGTGCCCTGGTTTCTTTTATATATGATTTAGAAGTGACTGTGTAGTGTTTTAGCAGTTCAAAATGTTGATCATGAAGAATTTCACACATAAAACAAAGGCAAACTGTAAATTTTGTTCATCGCCCAGATTCAATGATCCTCAACATTTAAGCCTGGTTCATCTATTATTTGTTTTAATTGTTGTTGACCAGGTATTTTATGAAAGTTCTAATTGTAGACTTCACATTTTTCTTCTTATGAACTTCATTATGCATCAGTTTAAAGAAAATGAATACTTTGCACCCAATGATAACATTCCAACTAAAATGTCAACTATTATCTCTTGTAATCTGGCACATATTAAAATATCTCTAATAGTCTCAATTGTGTCATAATTTTACAGTTTATCCAAATTATATACAGAGAAGATCCAAATAATGTCTTTGATAATCGTGTCAATTAAAGGTTTTTCTCTTCATGACATTCACTTGCCAAAGAAATTGTGGCAATTACCCTAGAGAGTGTCTCACTCTACATAGGTAATATGCAAGGCTATAGGATTTACAAAGGGTAGACAGTAGCCATTATTTCTGGTATGTCAACTTTGTTTTTATTTACTGTTCCCTCTATTTTATATATTCTTATATTTCCTATATTTCTTGCACACTAGAATTCATGTGTGAAGTCTGTATAGATTCAGACCTAACATTTGTGTAAGAATGCGGCCATTGTCTGAACTTTAAATTCCATGGTGTTAGGGGGAGCAAATTCTATACTATCTGTGTTTCAACAAAATACTTGTAGTACAAGCAACCTCCCAGAGCAGTAACATTAAGAGATGGACTTGCTGGTGGGCAACTATGTCACGACAGTGTGACCTTCACAGTGAAATTAGTGCTTTTATGGAAGAGTCCTTAGACTGTTTTCTCTTTCTGTCACATGAAGACAATGATGAAAGCCACTGTCCTTGAAGCACAGCACCAGACAACAGGAAGAACCAAGGATGGTACATCTTGATCTTGGGCTTTAGAGCCAGCATAACAGTGAGGAGAGATACTAAGTATCTTATTACAGCAAGCACACATGGGTCAGTCAAGAGACATTCGTCTCCAGCTTTTCTTTTCAGGGATTTCAAGATGTGTGTGTTCACAGTCTGCAGCCAAGCTGCCGCACCTCCTGTCTTACTTCCCCATTTTTGCTTCATCTGGTATTCTCATGAATTAATGTTTGCATGTAAATCATTTCATTGAGGGGTTATAATAGTATATTCTTTTTCCATTGTATTTTTACATACATTACTGGAATACAATCATAGAAATATATTTTAGTTAAAAACTGAGGTCAGGGGGATAGCTCAGTACAGTAAGCATTTGCCTGGTAATTGCCAGGTCCTGAGTTCAGGTCCCTGTTAATGCAAAAATAGATAAATAGATAAGTAAATAAATAAACAAACATAAATAAAAAAACTAGAGCACATATCTGCTGAATGACTCTTGCTTGTGTCATGGTACTTGTAAAAATTTCCTACTTAAGTCCTCAGTTTTTTGTTTATTTCTGGGCAGCTTAGACTCATGATCCTCCTGTTTTGTCCCCCTGGTGCTTTGATTACAGTCATGCACCACCACACCCAGAGTCTATTGCTGGCTCAGTGCACCCAGGGGGCAGGTCGGGCATAGTATGAGGTGCCAGATATTGAACCCTGGCCCCTGTGTTTACCTAAGCAAGCGCTTAGTCTGTTGAGCTATTTTGTTTGCCCTGCCAATATTCAGATAGTCAAATTGTGAACATTCTCAGATGCAAGCTGCCCTATTTTTTGAGGGGGAGTGGGTAACCAGGAATCAAACTCAGGCATTACACTTGTCAGGCAGGCACTTTGTGTCACTGAGCTATCTACACAGCCCTTAAATAGACTTTGTCTTAGCAACATTTCCTGATATGAACAAACCCAGAAATAATTCACACATCTTCTTTACCATTTTAAGGAAAGTGTAAAAGTACAAGTAAATTATTCACAGTATTTCTATGTGTATTTTTATTTTGCATATTTGTGTCAAAGGCATGTAAAACTTACTTTGTCTGACTTATGTTCTTCTGGAACTGAACTTATTCTTTAATCAGGGGTTTGCTGAATTTTCAAAATACTATATATTGAGCATATTGTATCAGTCACAATTTTGTCAAAGAATTAGAATCGCAAATTGCTCAGCTTTCCCCTGAGACAAAATTCTTGCCATCTATAACTCTAAAAGAAAAAAAAAACAGTTTAATATAGCCCACAAGTTTGAGATACTCAGTGCATGGCTTTTAGGCTCCACGTTGGGCAAAATCTCAGAACAAAGCCCTAGTGGAGCAAGGGCCATTAGTTCGTGGTGACCAGGACATGGAGCAGAGAAACCATTCAGAGAAGAATGAATGAAAAGCCAACAAAATACTGACAGCCACACCTTTGGCTGTTGACTCATACAGACAAATACAACAGGTTTTCTTCATCTAATAGGCATTTCTTAATACGATGAGTTTGACATATGAAGATTCATGGTCACAATCCATGGTCTGTCAACTTCACAACTGTGTATATCTCCTTAAACCACACTTAATCTTCAAATAAAGATAATAGTAAATTCATAACATACGTATACGGCATACAACTGATAAAAGAACAATACTTTCTTCCAAATTTCAGCAATTCTATTGTTTCTCCAAAGTCTAACTTCAAGCGTCTTTGAAGACTCAATGAAAACTCTTAGCTGGAAACCTCTACAAAGATAAAAAGAACAGGATAGTCACATAATCTTAAGTTATAATGGTGCATTCCCATTTCAAAAGGTATAAGTAAGGGAAAGTAAACAGTAAGATCAAAGCAGACATTCCATGTTTGGAACATCTCTGACTTCTTGGGGGTCACCTGTGAACCCTTGAATTTATTCTTGCAGGCTTTCATACTGTCCTTTCAAGGCTCTCTCAGCTGGTCTCCCAGAAATTTCTTGAAATCTGGGGGATGCTCTTGTTACAACACAGCTCTTATATCATGAATGGTTAAAAAAAACAGTACTATGTGGGCAATGCCAAGTTCAACTCCCAGCTTGAACAGTAGACGGCCTCCTGGTCATGCTTCTGGTTGGCTAAACCTGGTGAAATGAACCCCATGGAACCAATCTCCTTAGAGATCCTTTACAAACAGGCTTCCAAGGGTCTCTGATAAACTGAATGATTTATGATGTTGCACCCATAAACTTGGGATTCCTCAGTTACCCTCAAGTGGTCATTCTTATCCCATTATGTAGTACTTGGTTTCTTTGTAATAGTGATAATCTAGTTAGCAGACCTGCTTCTTTTGGTCTTAATTGTACACATAATTCATTTTGAGAGAAGTTCTTTTTTAATTTTATTCCCTAGCCTATTCCCCTTGATTCACATTATAAATCTGGCTAAACCCATGAAGAAGTACACATGCCATGGTCTTATTGTTGGGATATATTCATTTTTTCCTGCTAAATAAATCAGTTCATCACTCTTAACTCTTATTCCTTTATCTGGGCAATGTCAAGACATTGGAAAAATGCATACAAATTTTGTAAGAAAACTTAATACATATAGTCCCTAGTCCAGTGGGTGTTTTTTTCTTAAATGAAACCTCCCAAGTCTGCTTTTACTCTGCATTTTATGAACATTCTGGATTTCTGAGTGCTGTCTAGAATCTCATTTCACGTGGCTTGCAATATTATAAGGCTTCTCTAGCTCATATCCAAAAGTTTTCCCAATTCTTCCAGCACCTTAGTCCTAAAGGCTTCTAAACCACATGCTGAGCTCCTGATCCAGCAAAACCCAACTTCTGTGATACCCAGATTCAGTAAAACTTCATCAGACTCCACGGTAGAAAATACTTGGTGGAAGTGTTTGGAAAAAAAATTTCTTAGTGCATGATCATTGTGAAGCTGAAAAGGGAAAATAAGCAAGAGAAATATGTAAAAGTTCATGTAGAGTACCTAAAACTGCCTACATGACACACCTGCACACACACAGGAGCGTTCTTTTGTACCTTCTAGACATTTCTTCATGGTGTTGGCATACTAGGGGCAATAGTCATGTCATTATGTTTGTTAGAATTTATTTGTTTCAACTATGGTAAACAGGTAAACAAATTTATGGTCTTGGGGTAGGGGAGATGTCTCAGTGGAAAAAGCACGTCGCTGGCAAGTGCAAGGGTCTGTGTTCAATCCCTGGTTCTGAAAAAAAAAATAATTGTCTTTATTTTGTGTGTATCTAGCACCCTGAAGTAGGAGAGGTGACTGGATTAAGAGACATACAGGAAAGGTGACAAGAAAGGAAATATGGCTCCTTTAAGACGTATGGGCATGATCTTACAATTCATGAAATTTACACATGTTTTGGGAGATTGATGTATAGCATATCTGAATTAATTTTATCTTACTTATCTTCACTCTCACCAATTTCCTGATCCTTCTACCTTACTCTAAAAGACAGAGATTATTTTATTCTTTGTTGATAATTAGGTTTCTCTCCTCTTTTTCATGAGGTTA